TTTGGATTCTAAATCTCATAAGAATCCTAAACTTCATGATGTAAGGGATGGTTCCAAGGAACGTGGGCTCTGATACCAATTGTAACGGCCTGTTTTCTTCATTGAGAAATAAGTGCTACTCTACACACATAACCTGATAAATTTACGCAATAGTGAATGAAAACTTAAGATTTAATCATTCCCTATACATAATTGCAAGTTGTGAGGCTTGCATGATCATTTACATTACATCGTTATAATATAACTAATATGACTTTATAACACGAACTCTTACTGTCACTAAAGATTTTTTAAAGTTTTCTTTCGACCTTAAACTTACTCTTGATTTGAACTAGTCTGCATTAGGAGTTGTGAATTGGGATGAGTTTTACGTACTCAGTAAGAAAAATGAGTAGTGCTCATAACAAAGACATGCACACACTCAATCACCAAATATTCTAAATTAATTTATTCAATAAACATTCAAAATTCTTTATTTTAGTATTATAACTGATGGCATAAACAGTTCCATAAATAACATCGTTGAGTATTCAGTATCACAATTTAAGCAGTAAACAGTTCAATATATATTAGTTTAGTATTTTAGTATCGTAAAGTTTACTCATGACTTTCTATTAGTTTATGTCTTATTAAAAATAGTTTTACCGTGTGATGTTATTTCCGTCAGTATCAACGAGGGAAATAAGGATCCACTTTATCACGTGAATACCTTACAGTTCAGTTTACAGTTCATAGTTGCTGTATACAATATACAATTTACAGTTCTTATAGCTTAGCCACATCTGGATAAAGCCGTATCCACGAGTAGGGTTCATCATAGTCACATGTTAAAAGGCTACACACACATCCACCATTCGGTGATAATGGTTGAATGAATTTTTTCGTCTTTTAAAGATTATTATGTTATTCTTTACTAATCGGGTTCGTCACTAGATGACCTACTCAGACATCTATCTACTTATATATTTTATATATATTACACATCAACAAATCTACACAATAAGCATAATATATACACTTTATATGTACAATTATCGACTCAAATAAGTATATATAAACACGCAACACCTACAACATAAATATATTTGTATATTCACACAAGACATATATGTATTCTATAAGCAGACCCATACAAGTTGTTTACTCATACATACACATGTTATACAACCTATAATTATACATATATATATATTTATGCATCACACACACCTATAACTCGATAACTAGCATACATAAAATCTGTATATACCTATAAGTAGCAATATGAATACCTAATTATATGTCATACATAACATCATCTAGGCTCTTAATCATATGTAATTGAACACATGCGACTACGATGAGTTCGCAGAACTCGTGGTAGAAAACTTAAACAATTTATAAAGTTTGTAAATAATTCACTTTAACATAAAATAATTTTTTATAAAAACATGGGAACTTCTGAATGAGACTAACTCTATCCCTTACCTACAGTTGAGTCGAAAAAAGTGTCAGAATCTTTATTGACTTGAGTCTACGCTCTCCCATAAATTTTCATTGTCACTTAGTTAATTTCCTCATTCACAAATACATAACACGTGTATTAAATAATGAGAGATTTTTAGAGATGAACCCAATAAAGACTAGTTTTACCTTGGGCACGCGATCCCACTCGCTGGAGTCGCCGTTGCACGCTTCCACACAATGTCGTCGGAATGTACACATGTTGCCGCCGAAAGCTGTCACTCTCTGCCGTTGAAAACCGTCATGCGCCACTACCAGACCACCACAAGCCACCACAAATCAATCAGAACACGTCGCAGAATGCACCGCAAGCTCATATCTGATGTAAATCAAGTGAAATCGTGTCGAAAAATGGTGCAGATGCGCAAAATCGCACTTTGGCTGTCGTAATCTGATCTACTTCCCCAGCATTATTTCATTGCGCACAGCTCCTCTTCCTCTCTCCCTATTCTTGCTTCGCCATCGATCAGGAATGATCTAGGCGTGCCACCACCGCTACCATCTTCTCTTTCTTCTTATTCTTCATTCCTTCCCTCTTTTCCTCCCTCTCTCTTTCTTTCTACCTTTCTTTCTCTTTACCCAATCCATCACTCTTTCCCCCCTCTTTTTTTTTTTTATAAACGGAAACAATAAGACTCCTCTGTGCCTCGCCTCCTCCTTCTCCGACAAGTTTCAGAGGCGTGTACGCCTCATCTTCTTCTTCTTGCAAAGGCCTGCTCGCCTCTGCAACTCTCCCATTTTTTTCTTTTTTATCATCAAAACGATGTTGTTTTCACCTCCTTCTCTTTTTCTTTTTTCCAAACCAAAACGACATCATTTTGACTTTTCTTGCTTATAAGAAATAGATGGGTTGAGTTTTAATTTTTCTTGGGCTGGGGTGTTACATCTGGTGCACCCTATTTTTTATATTATTTTTTACAGATGATTTAATTGTCTTCTGTTAAGTTGATGAGAAAAATATTAAAGAAGCAATGAAATGTCTAAATAAGTATTGCTCTTTTAATCGCATAGGTTAAACAAGCTAAAATCATCAATCTTTTTAATAAGAACTGTTTCAAGTTCGTGTATGATCAACAATCGATAAGGAGGAATGCCTCTAGATTCCTTACGAGCTAAAGTTAATGAAAACTACTTTAAGAATATAATCGATAAAATCAAATCTTGATTAATGAGTGAGAATGCATAGTCATCATTGGTGTTGGGAGATCCATTTTAGTAAGATAGGTCATAAATGCCCTACCCACCTACAATATATCTTCCTTCATTATCCCAAATAATGCGTCAAATGAAAATTTAAAATTATATAAAAAGTTATACCGGGGCTTCAAAGACGACCGATCTCATTGATTCACTCGTATTGGATGGGACCAATTACATAAACCAAAAACACAAGGGGGATTGGGTTAAAATAGATCAAGGAGATTAACATCACTTTAACTTATTTAGTATATTATTCTAAACAATATAATTCATGGATTAACTTAGCCAAAGCCAAATATTATAGAGGAGTCTCATTTAACAATGTAGTTCATAAGCCTACTGACTCATTATTCCGGAAGTGTCTTATTAAGACAAAAAAAAAAAAAAACTTGGTAAGGGTTGTAATAAGCTAATAGGCAATGGAGAAAGAATGAACATTTAGTTAGGCAATTGAATTTATACAATTGAAGGATTCAAGTGAAAGTGTCTTATCTCTCTTGACTACTCATTTTCAGCTCATTAATGTTTAATGATGAGCGTCAATAGAATTTTTCATTGATTAATCAGCTATTTCCTTGACAAATTATTGCGTAGATTTTATATAATGTGTCTATATAAGTTGTTACCCTTCTTTTTTCTTAATTTATTTTACGATAATTCAAAAAAAAAAAACATTGAGGTTTGATATGACAATTTGATACCTTGAGGAAACAAAATTTTGTTAATTAGTTTGCATTTTAATAATGATAGAATCTTAATTTATTTTACGATAACTTCAAAAAGTAAATAGATCGAAATTTGATATAACAATTTAATACCTTGAAAAAAAGTAAATTTGTCAATTAGTTTGCATTTTAATAAAAGCAATTGTGAAAGAGACATACTTTAGTTAATCAATCATTGTTTTTCGTAAAAATTGTAGTTATGCACGAGCATTTATGTAGTTTAATATTAGCTAAAAAATAATAGGTTATATCAATTTTCAAATTAAATGACATAGTATTAACTTAATGTTACGCATTATGTTAATAGTAAAAAACGAAAAAAATGGAGTTACATATGAATTACGAATTCACGGTGAGATATCAAATCAATTTAGTTTGGTAAAACTTTGGTGTGGTTTGAATTATTAAAAGAGTACTAAACGTACACTAAACAAATTCTTATAAAATAAACCAAATTAAATTATTTGATTTACCCTTCTTAATTTGGTTGAACTTTGAGTAAACTAATATATTATGTAATTAAGGATCATTACTGACATTGCACCGCATACAATATAAGAAGACATTACCTTATTATAAGTTTTCATAAGCATATAAACATAGTTTTCAATTACCATATGCTGGATCACTTGTATATTTTTTATAAGTACATATATAAAATACAAAATATAATAGTTTATTTTGGATAGACAACATGTCCATTTGCAATTATTAAAATTTGCTGAGATTATAACTAAGAACAAGCTAAAATTATTATTTTTTAAATACAAAATATATCATATGCTTCACATGGGTGAAGAGTGTATTAACAAATAAAACGATATAATATTTTTGTTGTTGTTGTTGATGTATTTTACTTGCGTGATAAGTTTTTTATGTTAATAAAATTATGTATAAAAAAATTAATTTAATTAAAAATATATCGTATAATTAATTTGAACAAATCTTTTATATTAAAAAAAAATATATAATAAATTTTTATTTAATTTAAAAATATACCATATTTGGTCGAAGAAAAAAATTATCATATTAAAATTTTAAGATTATATATATATATATTTTTTGAAAAAAGATTAAAGAATTTTAATGCAAATAAATTACATTCAATTATTTTTTTAAAAATTGAAGTAACAAATTTTCACAATTTACCTCATAAAATTTGATTGAATTTTACGCTAGAGGACAACAATTAAGTCAATCGAGGCGGGGCCCACAAAAAAAATTATAAAAACATGATGATGGTAACTTGAGGAACTGTAGAGGTTGTAACCGTAGAGATTGGGGTCCCAAACGCAAAAAGCCCAAATCACTTCCATTCCATCATGTAATAATTTAACAACCGACCGTCAGATTTACCGCTCGATGGATTTCGATTTTTGTTGTAAGGAACCAGACAAGTCTTCGTGGACTCTTATATATGACCTTGTCTTAGCTGTCATCGTAATTATGTGGAAGTTCAAGGGTATTTTTGGAAATATAGAAATTTAATTAACGTTTTATTTTTTTAATTACTTTCCTTAATAATAATAATTACATTAAACTGAGACCCTGGCCCTAAGAAGGTGGGAGGGAAGACGAATCGAATAGGAAGGAAAGAGAAGGAAAAAAGGAAAGAAAATAAAACACCAGACGGGGGTCTTCTACTGCAAGAAAAGCAGAGACTAGAGAGAGAAAAAAGAGGGGCTTAAATCTCTTCTTCACGAGATTCGATTTGTTGAAGGGTTTTAAGCTTCTCTGTTTTTGATTTTTCTTTTAAAATAAATAGATTTTTTCCCAATTCTTTTAGGATTCTTTTATTGTTTAAGTCACAAATCAATAGTGGTGATAGTAGCAAGTAGTTCAATTGGTTTTTAGGTCGCTGGTGACTTGAATGATATTTGTTGAAGCTTTTGCTACTAGATCGAGGAGCAACAAAAGTTTCTGATCCGATCAGCCTCCGTGGAAAATGGTATTTGTGTGGCGTTTTCTCTTTCTTCTCTACATTTTACTTGATTAATTTTCTTCTGAAAATCTTGATAATCTTAATTGGTTTAGATTTGTTTTATGTTGACTAAACGGGCTGATGCTTTGATGGGTTATTGTTGTTTTAGTTTGACGGTGGACTGATCTGTGCTCAAGTAAAAGCAAGATATTTTATAGCTAATATATTTAGTTTGTTGATCTCTTCACATTTTGTGTTTATAGAAATCGCCGTTCTAGTTTACTAGCTGTTCAGTTTTTAGGTTTACTGTCATGGTCTACTTGAATTCTTTGTTCTTGTGATTATGATCCCTAGCTAATTGAGCGTTGTTGACCAGGAGCTGATGTTATACAATTTTATATAGATGACTTAATTTGGAGTATTAGATTTTGTGTTTTGCATTGACTTCATTGCCCACCGGTTCTTATGTTTGGTTCCGATGCTATTGGCATACATCTTTTTCTCTCTTTTTGTTTCTTTGGTTTGATGAAATTGGGCAATGTGCTCTGCTTGGCTCTGTGGCATTTAAATTTTGGGAGAAAAACTGGTCAATAGTATGTGGTGGTGGTGGTGGTAGATATGGTGTGATTTAATCACCAACAATATTGAACTTTTTACTGAATTCAACAATTCCAAAACCACATTCTTGGTTGATCGACCAAAGTCAACCTTCCTCTTAAGTTCTTGTCACAAATGAACTCAAATCAAGTGTTTGTCTTAACCAGGAATTGATGATAATAATGGCAATTGAGCTCAAATATATTGTAGCAAATTTTGAGATGTAATTGCTTCTAATCTTTGCATTTCTTTATAGTTCCTTCACAAAGTTGCTTTGTTGTGGGTGAAAATGATTTCTCTTTTTTCCCTTTTCTTTGAAGTGTTGCATATATTAGTTTCCTTTTCTACATCAGTCTTAGTTCTTCTTATCAAGCCATTTGAACTTCTATTGCAAATTACTTGTATATTCTAATGAGATATTATAAGTTTGAGAACTTTGAACTTTTCTCTAGGTTGATAAATGAGAAATCTTGCGGGAAAAGTGGAAACTCTTAATGAGATTGCTCTACTTCATTTGTGTTTGTCAGAATCTTATTTTAATTGTTACTGCTTTTTTCTGCCATTTCCATTTTGGCCTTTTTTTTTTCCTGATAGAAGATAATTGATCAAGTTTGTTGCTTGAATACATTACCACCTGGTTATGCTTGGGTCCAGACAGGAGAAGGAATGTGGTCATGATGGTTCCCGAATATTGAGCATTTGATGCTTTTTCCTTTGCAGGCTACTAATTTCACTCCTACAGTTGGCTCACTTGTGTGGTTGGAGGATCCTGATGCAGCATGGATAGATGGTGAAGTCCAGGAGGTTAAAGGTGAAGATATCAAAGTCCTCTGCACTTCAGGGAAGAAGGTGTGTCACAGGGTTTTGTTTGTTTATATATATATCAAACATGCCTAACTGTAATCTATAAGTTCTGCATGGTAAATTTTATCAACCGGCAATAATCACATGTACTTATTTAAGCTAATATCTATTACTGAATTTTCTCTTACATGACACTAGGTGATGTTGTTACTTATTTGATATCATATCACGTGGAAATAATAGGTTTTCGAGATGTGTGTTCCTTTATCCTTGAAATTTTGAAAATTTCAGGTTGTTGTCAAGGCTTCTAACGTCTATCCAAAAGATGCTGAGGCTCCACCCTGTGGCGTGGATGATATGACAAGGCTGGCTTATTTGCATGAACCTGGAGTTTTGCAGAACTTGAGATCAAGATATGATATGAATGAAATATATGTGAGTAGAAAGAGAAAATTTTTCTTTTTCTAAATTATAATTTTTTCTCGTTTAGTGTGTGTTTGGAGAAGTTGTTTTGCAGTCAAGTTTATCTTTTTGCATATTCATGTTTTTTTATGGTTCTATGACATTTAGGTGGATAATTAACTAACAGAATAGTATATGTCTTACCTTAACTAACAGAATATAGTCTGTCCGATAGTGCAATGCAGTTTCTTTATATTTTCATCATTTGCTTATGTAAAGGCTAATCCAACAAATGGTGCTTCCTTTCAGACATACACGGGGAACATTCTAATTGCTGTCAACCCTTTTAGAAAACTACCTCATTTATATGATACTCACATGATGGCACAGTATAAAAGTGCTTCCTTTGGTGAGTTGAGTCCACATCCCTTTGCTGTTGCAGATGCTGCTTACAGGTACTTTGTCTTTTAAAGATTGGAACTTTTCCAGATAGTTTTGTTTTTGACTGAATTTCAATGTCATACTGCTGTTGTTGAAGACTGATGATCAACGAAGGAATAAGCCAGTCAATCTTAGTTAGTGGGGAGAGTGGGGCGGGTAAAACAGAAAGCACAAAATTGCTCATGCGTTATCTTGCATACATGGGAGGAAGAGCTGCTGCAGAAGGAAGGACAGTGGAGCAGCAAGTGCTGGAGGTATAGTTGGTGTACATGTACTCCTTGTTGTTATGAGAATTTGAGATATCTGATGTTGTAGTTAAGTTTGTAAGTACAGATCTATCTGAGATATGCTTGCTCTGTGTTTTCCTCTTATATAGTCCAATCCAGTTTTAGAAGCATTTGGTAATGCAAAGACTGTCAGAAACAACAACTCGAGGTGGGGAGAATTTATTATTGAAAAGATTTTTCTGTATATAATACTAATTTCTATTGAATTGGGCTCTCTTGATTTATGCTCATATTTGACATATTTGAGTATTGCAGCCGTTTTGGTAAGTTTGTGGAGATTCAGTTCGATAAGAGGGGAATGATTTCAGGAGCTGCAATCAGAACTTATTTGTTGGAAAGATCCCGTGTATGTCAGGTTTCTGATCCCGAGAGAAACTATCACTGTTTCTACATGCTTTGTGCTGCACCACCTGAGGTAAGTTATCTGCAGTTGCTTGAGCAGAACTCTCTTTATGGAAATATCTAGAAAGTCCAAACTGAACTTTCTCCTACGCTATGTTACTGCCAATTCACATCTATGACAGTTATTTGGAATATCTCTTATCATGATAGCTTTTCCAGAAGTATTTGAGAAAGGCACTAGTGAGGATCTCTCTCCCTATGCCCCTCTCTTCCAGAGATTAAGTTGACAATCTCCGCAGTTTAACCTTTTGAATTGTTTAATGAATCTTAATGATCAAGTTCAATGGAGCATAGTTGAATTTCTTTTGGTTCTAGGGATCAACGAAGAGATTTAAGGTGACAATCTCTGTAGATTTGACCTTCCGTATTGTTTTAATGAATCATATTGATGCATTTTCATGGAGCATAGTTGAATTTCTGTTGTTTCAAGTTAAGCTTGTATTTTCTTCTCATTGTTCGAAATATTGATTTATAGGGATCAACGATAAAAGTGAAGTTGGCTTTTATTCTTTGCTTCCCCCAATTTTTTTTTCTTTATTGCTTGATAAAGTTTCTCATGATTAACACTGAGAAGTTGGCATGTTTATATTCTGTTGTCCAAATTGCATTTTCATTCTTGATATCTTTGAAACTGAATGGCAAAACTGTTTTTGAGTTTCCATTGTTCATGTCTCTGAAGTGAAAGGGAAATAAGTTATGTAATATGATTAGTTTTCTTTTTTCTTTTTCTTTTCTTTTCTTTTCTTTTTTTTTTTTAAAGTTTGAACTGTTGCCCAAGAAGTGCTAACTTTTGGAAAAAAATTGAAAATGTGATTTTTCATTCCCATTTTTCTTCTTCTTGAAAGCAAGAAATGGCTGTTTACATCAGAAGTAAAATTACTCTTCTTAATGTTACATGTAAAAGCTTAGAGTAGTTGTCTTTCCTCATTCCTTTCTTTTTTTTTTTCACTTCTCAGGACATTCAGAAGTACAAACTGGGAAACCCAAGAACGTTTCATTATCTCAATCAATCTAATTGCTATGAATTGGATGGGATAGATGATGCTGAGGAATATGTTGCAACAAGGAGGGCAATGGATGTTGTTGGAATAAGTCCTGAGGAGCAGGTTATTTTTTATTTTTTATGTAGATAATTTATAGAAAATTCTTTCTAGTGAAAGTTATCATCTTCAATAATTTTCTTTTTCAAACTTTTTAGTTTTTTTATTTATGTGTTGTCAGGATGGTATATTTCGAGTTATAGCTGCCATTCTCCATCTTGGAAATATTGAATTTGCAAAAGGGAAGGAAATAGACTCATCAGTTCCCAAAGATGAGAAGTCCTGGTTCCATCTGAGAACTGCATCCGAGCTTTTCATGTAAATGAGTAAACTAATTAGCAGGAACTTTTGTGCAATGATCCCAACATCAACCTGAAATTTCTGCTTCATAATCTCTGGTAAGAGGAGAAAAGATATTTTCCTAATTCATGTCTTGACAGGTGTGATTCGAAGGCACTTGAAGATTCTCTCTGCAAACGTGTAATTGTAACTCGTGATGAAACCATTACGAAATGGCTTGATCCAGAGTCTGCAGTTCTTAGTAGAGATGCTTTGGCAAAGATTGTGTACTCAAGGTTGTTCGACTGGTATGTGCTTTGCTATACTCTGAAGGAAGCTAGTCCACTGAGGTCTTTCAACTGCATTCAAATTATATATTAGTTTGAAGTTGCTCTGTAATTCCTTTTATTGTTCCTTCAGGATTGTGGATAAGATTAACAGTTCAATCGGCCAAGACCCTGACTCAAAATTCTTAATTGGTGTGCTGGATATTTATGGATTTGAGAGTTTCAAGACAAACAGGTGCTTAGCCGGTATGCCTTTTGTTTCTATAATTGATAGAAATGGGTTTCTTGAAATCACAAGAATATGGGTTTGTTCTGCCTGTCCCATTTCTAGGAGGCACCCTTAGTACTGGGCTTATGACAGTTATACGGGTCTTTGGGCATTAGAAATAATGCAACTATCTTAGAGACAACTATAATTGGTAGTTCAGTTTAAAGTCTTTGATAACTTAATCCATGAAGACATTGTCTCAGCCTCAATATTATATATATTCAGTTGTATGAAATTCAATTCCTTTTGGATGTGTTTGGCTCTCTCTGTCTCTCTCACTCTCTCTCTCTCTCTTTCTCTGTCTTTCTAAATCTAATTTATGGGTCAATCAATCTTTACTTGCATTAGTTTTAACCAGTTAACATGTTGACTTATTCCTCTCACTTTTATTTAAAAAAAAAAACATGTTGACTTATTGACTCCAGCTCTTTTTGATGTCAGAGCAAACTTGTCAATTTTCATGTACTTGAGGTTCCCTTGCTAGCATTTGGGTTGATAATCTTGGCTCTCATGGTCTTACTCTTAATTGATTTCGCCAACTTTTGCTAATGCGTAGGGAATGGAAATATATTAGTGCCAAAGCTACTTGTGGGGGTGTTGGAGAAAACTTAAATTATTCATAAAAATAGATTGACATGAGATTGTTTGGATGCTTGTTTTCATTATATCCAATACTTAGTATTTGAAGGATTTTGCAGTTTTGAGCAATTTTGCATCAATTTGACAAATGAAAAACTTCAGCAACACTTCAATCAGGTTTATTTTTGAAATGCACACTTGTTCTGTTTAGCTTCCTTGGCATTTCTTCATTTGATCCATGTCTCATGTTTATGGGTTTAAAATTGTTGGCAGCACGTTTTCAAAATGGAGCAAGAGGAATATAAAAAAGAAGAAATCAACTGGAGCTATATTGAATTTGTTGATAATCAAGATGTTCTGGACCTCATTGAAAAGGTTTGTTGCTATCTAAGTTCCGTTAAGTTTTGACTCGTATTTTTACAATTTATGAACAAAGTCTCGGTTGTGAATCGAACTAAGAAAAGTATGTTATTTATGGCACAATATGGGGGATAGAGTAGAACTCCATTAGAAGTACAATAAACAGATCATAGAATTATACACTGATTAAGTAATTTCCTCCCCTCCCCCTAAGAAAAAGTTGCTGGTTAACATGTCCAGAAATTGGACAGCAATTGAAAGAAATGAGGAGCTGAAAGGCTCTGGTGAAAATGTCAACTAGTTGGTATTGGCTAAAAACATTATCAAAATTAATGTGCAAGATATGTTTAGAACAAGCATGTTGAACTAGGGGGCCGTATAGGTAGTACTAACATTATTGCAATAGGCAATAGGTGTTTCCAGTGGATGATAATGTAATTCCTGCAACATATTCATTGACCAACAAATATCAAAATAACAACCCAATATTCTTAGTGCTAGACTGGGACACTACTGTTTGTTTCTTGGCATCCAGGAGCTGAGGTTGGACCCCAATAAGAACACATAACCCATAGTTGATTTTCTTCTGACGGGACAACTGGTCTTATTCAATTTCAAGTATCAATCAGAATACAACCAGAGGCCATTGGTGGTAGTTCCCTTGGTGTGGTGCAACACATATCAAATAGCTTGCCACTTTCAATGCCACCATGTCTTAGGAGATCTTTTGCATACTTCAATACATCAAGAAAAGGACTTTAATTATTAGCTCTCACATCTACAGTAGAAAATAATAAAAGGAGAATTGTGAATTTCAACAGAGGAGGAGACTTCTGGCAACTCAAACTAATTAGGACATTTTTATAATCTATATGAAAACCTTCCAGGAATTTGGAGAATCGTATGTTCATAAAAAAAAGATCACGAAGGGGACTAAGAAGTCATAGGACATCTTTAACTTTGAAATAAGAATTGATGGATAAATCAGATTTGAAGATATTGTAAAATTGTGATTTTAGTTTAGGTAATAATGGGGTATGAGCTTGGTCATGAAACAACTACCCAATGGAACTTTAGGCTTGGCGAGGTCTGAGAAAGGTGTCCTGTCTGAGAGGACGTTTGAAGGATGTCAGAATGACTTTCAATTGACTCCAGAAGAGAAAAGAGAATTAACCTGCTTCCAAAGCGAAACTTTAGGATTGTCAACTTCTTGCCATTTGAAATGATGTTCAGAGACAGCAAAGAGGCTATCTACATGATAAAGAACAATTGGAAGATAGAGAAGAAAAGAAATCTCCTGACAAGATAATTGTTAAATCAAGTGTATCACTAATTTAATTTTGATGTTGGGAACACGAATAAGTAGGATGGGATGGTTGGGTAGACATGGAAGACACAAAAGAGGGTTGCAATGATAGCTAAAGAAGATTTAGGAGTTTGGCTCATAATATGAGAAGAGGAAGAAATATTTAATTCAGCTTTGATGCCATCTACCATTTATGAATGAATTATCTCGTGTATTGGTGTGGAGTAAGTGTGCTAGTCATAGCAATACAAGAAAGATAGTACAAGTTTTACAAAAATACAACAAACATATCAGAGTTTTTTTTTACCAAAATCTGGAAGGTAATAAACAAAATTTAAAAAGTATTTTGGGTCTTTGGATTGGCTTTATTTTGTGGTTGAAGGTGTTTGAAGCTTATTTTTGAAAAAAAAAATCTCATGGAGTTCGAATAAAAATGACAAGTACTAAAAGCTCATTAGCTGTTGGTCCAAAAGAAAAAGCTCTTAAAACCAGTATTTTCTGGAGTCTTAAGCCAAGGGTTTTTATGACTTAGTTCTTTTTACTATTATTTGGACCATTACACCTTTATCAAAATAATAAAATTACAATCATACCAATAATTCTCATAAACTTTATTTATCAATAATGTAGAAAATTTAATACAATATTTCTAACAGTAAAATTTAATAATAAAAATTGCAATTATTGCTGATAAATTTTATTTAGAATTTTCCTAAAAAAGATATTTTGATGAAAATAAACTTAAATAGTTTTAAATTGAAAGAATTGCTAATTTCCCATTTTGGTCAATTTGGTGAAATTTTGGTTTGAAATTTCTAATTTTATCTGATATTTGACAATCTTTTAGTTAAAGAATTCTTGAAAAAAGTTAGGTGTCCAAAGACTTCTCATGCTTGAAGCACTGTGAACGTAGAGCTTGTTGGGACTAAAAGCACAGGGACTTAAAGCTCAAAAAATATGAGGCGATCCAAATGACTTCCTTGTCCTAGTCTACTTTGTCTATGGGAAGGTTTGGGGTCCTAGTCTACTTCATCTATGGGAAGCTTTGGGTGTAGAGGTGAGCGTTTGGTCGGTTTAATTTGAATTTCGAAGACCGTCAAGAATTCAATAAACTATAAAAATTGACTGAACGAAACTGAACCAGAAAATCTTTCAAAGCTGCAACCATACTGACTGAAGAAGCTCGGTTACTTAAATTTTAAACCGAAAAACTGAAAAAAATATAATATTTTTCTTAAAATGAAAATTAATATAATATATAGTTTATATCATATAGAATATATATTAATATGTACAGTATTGTTACAATATATTATAATTATTAATTATTATTATATTAAAAGATAAATTGATTACTCGATAGTTTGGTTCTAAAATTTCAGAATTGAAACTAAACTGATAAAATTGAAAATGATTCCATGAAAATCCAAAAAAAACCGAACAACTGATTAAAACTAAATCAATATGTCTAATTGGTTTGTTCTTCTTAGTAAGTTCAGTTTAAACTGAACAATGCGAATTCCTAATTGAGATTATTTTGGATGTGGGATTTTGAATGTTCTCTATATGAAAAAGGAACTTGTTTATATTATATTGTTTTCTCTTGATAATATATAAAGTTTCTCTGTATACAGGCAGCGCATTTTTTGTGACTATTTATGCCATTGTTTTTTTCTTTTAAAAAAAATTCACTATTAAAGATTGTGCGTTTTGGCCTAAAGGTTTAGTTTATTGTAACTTGGGAATCGAGAGGAGTTCTAGGTTTAAAAGTTTGCTGTAATAAGTCTACATTTGCATGGATATAGGTTAGAGGGAACAAATCACATTATTTATATGTTCTTGCTCTTGCTCTTGCTCTTGCTTTATATGTTAGTTTTTAACAAGCGTTATGTAGTATGGAGCACAGTAGCATGCTGAATCAAGTTGTTAAGAATTGGTTTCTCTGCATCTCAAAGTTCAAGTTACATATGTTTTACATCTAATTAATTGTAACTTGGGAATAGAGAGGTACTAGATTTTAGAGGTTTGGTGTAATAAGTCTACATTCACGTGGATGTAGGTCTGAGGGAACAGGTTACATGTATTCTTATTCTTGGTTTATTATGTTTGACCACAACAGAATTATGAATTAAGTTATTTAAGACTGGAAAACTATCTGCATCTCTAAGTTTTTTCTTTTTAGTTTGAAGAAAAAAATCTCTGCATCTCTAAGTTCAAGTTACATGTTTTAGTATCTAATAGATTCTCGGTCTTTCACACACACACTTGCACGTATACACCCAATCTGTTTTCCATTTCTTTCACAATCCTGTTCAGTTGTAATAAAAAATTTATGATTAGTAAGGACTTACCCTCAAAAAAGCTGAAAAAATTTGATTTCCTCATTTTATTCTTTTCGTTTACTCTTTGTTGGATAATTTATTGGTGGAGAAATATTGTTGTTCCTGATATAGTTGAGAGTGTACAAAAAGTTAATGATATAAATATGTTGTGGTTCACTTTATATTAATGTCCTTTCCATTTTATTCGTTATTGTTCTGTTTTTTCTTTTTAATGTTTATATGATTTCTCTTATTTAAAAAAAATGTTTATATGATTTCTCTTCTGATTTACAGAAACCTGGTGGTATAGTTGCTCTTCTAGATGAAGCATGGTAGGTCTAATTTTTTGGTTTTCATTTTATATCATTGTATAGATTTAGATTTACCTTTTCTTTTCGCTATTGTTTGATTCCAGTTACTTGCTAATGGTGGAAATGTAATAGCTGAGGCTTGTGAGTATCTTTTTGTGGTTTACAGTATGTTTCCAAGATCAACACATGAGACATTTGCTCAAAAGTTGTACCAGACATTCAAAAACCACAAGCGCTTTAGCAAGCCAAAATTATCTCGTAGTGACTTCACAATCTGCCATTATGCTGGTGATGTGAGTATGCCTTGTTTGCAACCTTCTATTTATACAATGATTTGTTTGTAAAAGGTTATGGGTCTCTTTTCAGGTCACTTATCAGACAGAGTTCTTTCTGGACAAGAACAAAGATTATGTTGTTGCAGAGCATCAGGCACTTCTGAGTGCTTCCCAGTGTCCTTTTGTGGCGGGTTTGTTTCCACCTTTAGCTGAGGAATCCTCCAAACAATCAAAGTTCTCATCAATAGGTTCTCGTTTTAAGGTGTGATAGTATTTCTGTTCTTCCGAAAAAATTATCACAGTTCTTTTGGGGTTTTGGATTATGGTAATAACTTGCTTACTTTACAGCAACAATTGCAACAATTGCTTGAGACTCTTAGTGCCACAGAGCCACATTACATTCGTTGTGTGAAGCCTAATAATCTTCTCAAGCCAGCAATCTTTGAGAATAAGAATGTTTTGCAGCAATTACGGTGTGGGGTGAGAATACTTATATCCTATATGTTCATTTTATATTCATTGTTGCTTTAAATTTGACATTGCATGCAACTTACTATGTATATTTTATATCTTATCTCAGGGAGTAATGGAGGCAATCAGGATAAGTTGTGCTGGATATCCTACTAGAAAACAGTTCGATGAATTTGTTGACCGATTTGGCATCCTTGCACCTGAAGTTTTGGATAGGAGGTATAATTTCTCATCCTCTCAAGTTTGTTGGATGCTACTTTTGAACCATGCCCGGGCTAATGTCGTTTTATATTAGTTCTGATGAGGTTACTGCATGCAAGAAGCTTCTGGAGAAAGTGGGACTTCAGGGCTATCAGGTAAACATTTGAAGTACCTAAACGTAGTTAAAAATTTTCTAATCAATCATGTTACTGGTACCCTTGCTAAAGCTTTACGTATATTCTCAACTTGATTCGGGAATGATCTTAGCGACTTCAATTTACTTTTGCAGATTGGTAAGACAAAAATTTTTCTCAGGGCTGGTCAGATGGCTGATCTAGATGCTCGTAGGAGTGAGGTTTTAGGAAGATCAGCAAGCATTATCCAGAGGAAAGTCCGTTCTTATTTGTCTCGTCGAAGTTTCATTTCCCTTCGTCTGTCTGCAATACAGATTCAAGCTATATGCAGAGGTATCTAAATGTGTTGCAGCAGGAGATAATCCATCTTGATCTTACAAGATACTTCAGTACGCGTTTATGTGGAGGCTGGGAACATTGTGCGATTGTCTTGATTTTTGTTTTGTGAACATTGCAGGTCAACTTGCAAGGAAAGTTTATGAAGCCATGCGGAGAGAAGCTTCTTGCTTGAGGATTCAAAAAGTCTTGCGCATGTATCTTGCTAGGAAAGGTTACAAAGAAATGTATTCTTCTGCTATTTCGATTCAAGCAGGTATGCGTGGGATGGTTGCTCGTGACGAACTACGGTTCAGAAGACAAACTAAGGCAGCAATCGTGATTCAGGTGATACAATTTCTTTATTAGGAAATTTAAATTTTATAAGGGTCGTTCTTTTTAGCTCTTATATCTGTCGAACTTTTTGAAAGGTTTCATCGTCATTTTTCTAAAATTTGAGAATCTTTGCAAGGATTTGCTTGAATGTTTGTTGTGTCATCTCAATTTCTTCGTTCAATAGAATGGACTTGTAATAACTTGGATTATACATCCCAGAGCCAATGCCGCAGATACTTGGCTCGGTTGCATTATATGAAGTTGAAGAAAGCTGCAATTACAACACAATGTGCATGGAGAGGAAAAGTTGCTCGCAAAGAACTGCGGAAACTTAAGATGGTGACTGATCTTTCTGTCTTGCCTTTTTTCTTTTGCTCCCTCCTCATCTTCGTCTGTGAACATATTTGGATATTTTGTTATGAGGATTTTTTCTTTTGAGGTCGTTCTACCATTTCTTTGAGATCGTGAATGATATTGTTCTGTAAAAATTACATTTTCTCATTTGTAGTTTTGAGGGAGTTAATGTAACTCGTTTATGAGACTTAACCGTTCTCTTTCTGCAACTTGGATTTCTGATCAATTTTGTTTATGCTAGCTCCAAATTCAAGATCGGTACTTCTGATTTTCTCGGTTCCTCTATTCTTTCAAATGGAAATATATGAAGTTTTATTGGCTTTAATAAAATGGATAGCATATTTTCATATGCTATTAGATGCAGAATCACTGTTTTGTGTATTTGTGCACGTGCATGTGTTTTCATCCTTTCAGTGGTTTTAGAATCATGGTGTTGATTCCTAATTTTGTTTCTCCAAGACAATCCAATTGTCTCTAAGAAATGAAATGTATTCATTTTTTTATTTCTCATATCATTGTAAGCTTTATTTGTTGCTTATGTTTTTGTGTATAGGCTGCAAGGGAAACTGGAGCACTCCAGGCTGCCAAAAATAAACTGGAGAAGCAAGTTGAAGAATTGACGTGGAGGTTACAGTTAGAGAAACGAATGAGGGTAAGTATGATCCAGTAGTAAGTAAAATATTTCTTCTATATTGATTTATGCCCTGTTTTCTGTTCGGCCAGAGAATTTAGGGAAGAATGGGAACCGTTATATGATGGTTTAACACAACACTACAGATGAAACTTTGGCATTTTATTGATAAGATGCTCAAATGCCATGAAAGGACCATATAAATTGGAAAAAGATTGAATGAAAACGGTCTGTTTGTATGGTTATGTATTGTGGTTTTGTAGCTTGATAAAAAGTCTATATCGTGGTTTCTAGGAACTAGTATAAGTGTAGTCCTTCCTCTCAAATGATACGTAAACCTCCTATGACAATTGTTTGTTAAAAGCACCCATGTTTAAAAACAAAAATTCATTTGTGCACTTTTCCCAACTGATTGAGTGTAGATGTAAGTGATAGATTGCTTATTCTATATCTTTGTTGGAACCCATAACAAAACTAATTCATGACTCATTAGCTTTGTAGGTCATGGTGCTCTAGCTTTGATAAATTGCTGTTATTATATATCTTTGTTGAAACCCATATCAAAACTCTTTGGTGACTCGTTAACTTTGTAGATCATGGTGCTCTAATTTGTATTTGACAATATCCCATATGGTATAAGTTGGTTTGGAAGGATATGATAAGATATACTTTTTTAGTAATTATCTTAAAGCAGAGATATTTTCAGTAATATTTTTCAATTTATTTATATTTGTTTAAGTCCTGCATTTCATGGACTTCTCACGTGTATATTTAGTGTCTTTAGTGCAATACAAGACACTTGGTATCTAAAAAATTTATATGGTAACAAAACAAGAAGTAGTGTTTAAGCACTAATTCCCTTCCTATCTCTGTTGGTTAATTTCAGCATAAGATAGTGTAAGGCTGTGCATGATTTATGCATTGAGCCTCGCTGGCTTGCGTATTAGGAGCATGTTAATGTATATAATAGATTAGGTCCTTTTTTATCTATCTAAGTTTCGATAAAAATCAGTTCGCTGCTATTATTAACAAGATATGCAGTATCTCTCTCTTTTACTTAGAAGTGGAAGAATAAATGTAGGGTTAGAAGTTGGAGCATAGATGTACTGAGATACACATGCATCATGTCCTTTTTTTACAAGTGCAGAGCCTCGTGGTGCTTTCGTATTCCTTTTCCATAATTATTTTTTTTACCAATGTTTGACATTGTAGGTTGACATGGAAGAAGCTAAAACTCAAGAAAATGCTAAACTGCAGTCTGCTTTGCAAGAGATGCAACTCCAATTTAAAGAAACTAAGGCAGCGCTAATGAAAGAACGCGAGGAAGTGAAAAGGGCTGCTGAGATGGCTCCAGTAATACAACAGGTTCCTGTTGTTGACCATGCATTGGTAGAGAAGCTTACCGGTGAAAATGACAGCTCAAGGTACAATGCTGACTCTAGGGTATAGAATCAAGGATGCTAGAACATGTGACAATGAGCTGCAGAATATTCTCCAAACCTGTCAGAATGTGCTTTGGAATTAGTATTTCGTTAATAATTGTTTCAATGGTAATAAACAGGCACTGGTGAGTTCATTGGAGAAGAAAATTGATGAAACAGAGAAAAAATTTGAAGAAACCAGCAAAATCAGTGAGGAAAGATTGAAGCAAGCTCTAGAAGCAGAATCGAAAATCATTCAGTTGAAGACTGCTGTGCATACGTAATCCTGATAGTTGATCTAAATAAATTATTTAGTCAAGATGCTTCCATCCCACCCCTGCCCCGTCCTCCCCTTTTTTAAGTCATATTTTTCATTTGCAGGCTTGAAGAAAAAATTTCAAACATGGAATGTGAGAACCAAGTTCTGCGTCAGCAAACGCTTATAAGCTCTCCTGTTAAGAAGATGTCTGAACTCCGACCAATGACGCCGATCAAGGTAATATTTTAATGTGAAACTTATATAGATCACTTCCTCCCTACATGTGCCAATGTTGATATTACGTTTTTTATTTTGCAGAGTTTGGAAAATGGTCACCATTTGAATGAAGAGAACAGTTTCAATGTACTTGATTTTTTTTTATAAATAATCTCTCTCTAACTTGGGCTCTATTTAATCATTTTTTATTTTCTGTAAATATCCTTATCCGCATGAGCTCTTTCTGCAGGAACCACAGAGTGTAACTCCAGTGAAGTTGTCGAGGACAGAATCTGATAGCAAGCCCAGGAGATCGCATATTGAACGCCACCATGTATGTGCTTAAGGAACTTGTATTATGTTATGTTCATTTCCACTTTCTTTTTGGGATGAGTATTGGTGACTAATCCTTTTATCTTGGTATTCATTATTGTAACAGGAAAATGTTGATGCGCTTATAAACTGTGTTATGAAAAATATTGGATTTAGTCAAGGGAAGCCTGTTGCAGCACTTACCATATATAAATGTCTTCTTCATTGGAAATCCTTTGAAGCTGAAAGGACTAGTGTGTTTGATCGTCTAATTCAGATGATTGGTTCTGCAATTGAGGTAACCGGATTAAATGAGATTATTGACATGGATATATTGATGCACTTTTCACAATAATCATTTATGTGCTATCTGGAAATGTTTCTTAGCTATTTAGGTTGGAATTTCATGTACTTCAATTACAGGGATACATCTTTCTTTACTTTTACAATTAGTTGATTGGATAATATAATATTGTTGATTCTTGGACTGGCACTTGCCAGTTTGGGACAGACCTTATTTCATGATGCCTATTCATGCTTGCATTTTGGCTAAAGAAAATCCAAGAGTTCTATTTGATTTCTCATTCTTTGGGATAAGGTGTCTTTATGGCATCCCTTTGGATAAGGGCGCATGGGTATTTTAAAGATATTCCTTGTCTATTTTTCATAGAGGTTGACCTTCTATAATTTTTTGTGACGGTCAGTTTTTCCTTTTCTTTGTGTTATTTTTCTCAGGGAGGATATGTAGTGCTCTACAGTTGTATTTCTCTTTCTCTATCTAATAATATTTTTTCTATAAAAAGAATTATATTCTCTCTCCGTGCAACAGATCACTGGGTGCCGGATGGTAATATTGTAATCAATACAAAAGAGCTGCTTGTTTGGGTTGACATATGCTAGATTTAATGATTTAATTTATTATGATTTGTAGCCAAACTGAATCTTTTCTTGCTGTTTTACTTTTTTAGTTATTATGGAATAGCTTCTCATGTGTGTATTATACTTATCAGTCTATTTGATATTCCTGAATTATTACACTTCTTATTGCATGCTTGTGTATTGTGTATTATACTTATCTGTGTTTTTTATTTTCCTGAGTTTTACATGACTGCTTATTGAGTAATAAATGTTAATTGCAGAACGAAGATAACAATGATCACATGGCTTATTGGTTATCCAATACATCTACACTGTTGTTCTTGCTCCAACAGAGTCTGAAGGCTGCTGGTAGTGGTGCAACACCACATAGGAAACCACCGACAACTTCCTTGTTTGGAAGGATGACCATGGTATTTGGAAAAGAGTCAATATATCTATATCATTGTTATTTCAAGAGGCAATTGCGTCCTAGATCGTAGTGCTGATTCATCTGTATTATTAATAGGGCAATTATTTAATGATTCTTCTGTGTTAATTCCAGGGTTTTCGGTCTTCCCCGTCTTCCAACAGTCTTGCTGCTGCTGCTGCATTTGCGGTAGTACGCCAAGTAGAGGCCAAGTACCCAGCTTTGCTTTTCAAGCAGCAGTTGGCTGCATATGTGGAAAAAATTTATGGAATAATTCGAGATAACTTGAAGAAAGAGTTGTCTTCTTTGCTTTCTTTATGCATCCAGGTAATTTTCAATTCTAATTAACTCATTAATTCCTTAGACATGAATTCCAGCTGAGTTGGTGGGGTTCTTCCTCGCCTCAGTATGAGGTTGAGTGATTGAATTGAGCTGCTTTTCACCTAGCAGAAGAACTTATTTATCCATATATCAGACTCATTTGGTACTTCAATTTTGGGTGCGCTTATTTCTTGTATGTTAGAATTGTGGCGCTATGACCTCTCTAATTTTTTAATGCTGAATTTTCAGGCCCCAAGAACATCTAAGGGAAGTGTTCTAAGGTCTGGACGGTCTTTTGGCAAAGATTTGGCTTCAAGTCACTGGCAGAGCATTATTGATAGTCTCAATTCTCTCCTTAACACATTGAAAGAAAATTTTGTATGAGACTTCCAAAGCTGGATTTTGCTTCTTTAACTTCTATCCAAATGCATTAAAGTTCTTATTCTTGTGTTGGATTCAGGTACCTCCAGTACTTGTCCAGAAGATCTTTACTCAAACTTTCTCATACATTAACGTGCAATTGTTTAACAGGTAAAGACACTGTTTATTCTACTCTGTTATTTATACTTAGAGGTTGATTATGACAGACTACGCTATATTTTTTTCCAGTCTTCTTTTACGGCGTGAATGTTGTACATTTAGCAACGGAGAGTATGTGAAAGCTGGATTAGCTGAGTTAGAGCTTTGGTGCTGCCAAGCAAAGGACAAAGTAATTATTTTCCCACTACTTGCTAGTTTTGTATGTTGTTGCATTTGATTGTTAGTGTGGTGCATCATTTTTCAATATTGTGTTTTTCAATTATTCAAACTCAAATTATGTGCTACATCAATAGCTTTTTCTTGCTAATGCTGTGAATTCGACGAATTGCAGTATGCAGGGTCATCCTGGGACGAACTTAAGCACATCAGGCAGGCAGTTGGCTTCTTGGTATGTTTTCTAGTGAGAAAGAAGCTTTCTATGTTGGAGCTTCCTAGTGCACATCAGTATCCAGAATTATTGTTGCCTCCTTGAGAAGAATATTTTATTGCTGGCCTAACCATTTCTCATCTTGTCTTTATGCAATTATATATCTTCGAATTGTTACTGGTGAAACATTGCTTGCACATCCTTTGCATCACATCTGAGCAAGAACTAATTTTTGAAACCATTCATATGACTGAACTTGTTATCCTAAACCATTCATAGTACTTTGGATGTTCCCCCCTAAACCTTGAATTTACTGGTATTGTCTTCTGATTTGTTTTTATTGACATCAACCCCAGGTTATCCATCAGAAGTACAGAATTTCCTACGATGAGATCACAAATGATCTGTGTCCAGTAAGTCTCTCTTTCCCATGTATGCTTTCAATTTTCACATGTCTATACCATTAACTAACCACATGGTGGGTTTTTGCTGCACGGTTAATCTGAAACGTGACCATCTTGTGATCATCTGAGTTATAGCCTCGTCCTTCACTATCGTACTGAGACTGGTGTCTGTCTACTTATTCTTTCGATCTGACTAACTTTTTTATCTATTCAGATCCTTAGTGTTCAGCAACTGTATAGAATATGTACGTTGTACTGGGATGACAACTACAATACCCGGAGTGTGTCACCAGATGTAAGTTAGTCAGAAAATGAAATCTTTATGTCTGGGATTATATCGCTGTCCCGTTTTCTGTTTACTCCATTATTCCTAGAGGATAACTTATCCTTTGTCAGATTCTAATTTTTCTCTATCTACTTCTGATCAACTCCTTCGGAAAACGACATTTTTATCTTGTTAAACATTCAGAAATTTTGCTTGTAACTTGGCTGTAGGTCATTTCCAGCATGAGAGTACTTATGACAGAGGACTCGAACAGTGCTGTCAGTAACTCCTTTTTGTTGGATGACAATTCGAGGTACAATTTTCTTCAGGATCTGTTTTCTTACTCCGATAAATTGATAATGTGAAGAACCTATTAACGGGAGAGTTTACACAACATAAAAAGTCAAGTTTGTTAAACAAGGTTTTGATATATCTCTTATATTCTGTAAGAGTTTTTATGGTAAATACTAATCTATGCTTCTTAAAACAGCATCCCCTTCTCTGTCGACGACCTTTCAAATTCACTGCAGGCGAAGGATTTTGCAGATGTAAGGCCGGCAGAAGAACTCCTGGAGAATCCAGCCTTCCAATTTTTACATGAGTGAGGCACAGGAAAGCTCAAGCTCAAGCTCAAGCATGCTCCTCACTTTTTAGCTGAGGTGGTGGTGCGTTACAACTTTTGATCAGAAGAAATGGTTATTGTAAATTCTTTTTTCGTTGGTATTTTTATACTCCCATGCCCCTTTTTGTAAAATTTTCTTCTATTTGTTTATTATTCTTTTTGCGCTCAAGATTTGTAAAATTTATGAATGGTGAGGGGGTTAGGGAAATCTCTTGTTATCTGATCTAGTGTTTATTTTTTTCTTCTTTTAATTTATTTTTCCCTGGGGTTTTCTGCTGCAAGGTGGCAGTAATTTTTTTAGGGGGAATTTTTCTGTAGGAATTTGTAGTTTTGGTGGCTTTCTTTGAGTCTTCACCAACCAAATCTCAATGTACAAAGAACAAGCATATGGATTTTAGTAGATGCATATTTATAAGAATTATTATATTACATACATTATATTATTCTATTATGTATATCGCTCATCTTCATTTTAACTGCAGACACACCTCTTCGGATTTATGCTCTATGGCTGGATGGGTTGAAAGATAAGAATTGTGGGCTCTTGATTTTTCAATTGAATAAACATTATCATTTTTTATTGTCGTTGCAGTTCTAATAGAATCTTGTTCGATTTAAAACGTTCATTTCAGAGTGAATGTATGATATGTTGTTCTAATCTAATCAGGCTGAGTTCAAATGATATTTTCGTGAAGCAACTTACAGTTATTTGCTTTTCTAGACTGCATTTTCGATTTGTCCCGTAAAGATAATTTGTAGTAGAAATTATGATTCTCAAAATTTGATTCTTGGGCCTGAGAAAAGCATTGCAATCTACTCTTTTTAATTGTGTGTGTGTGTATATATGGATAGATATTGGTCATGATAATATGTGAGTTTATAATATAATTTTTGTGAACTTATCACAAATTCTTTGGATTGATTACCACCCCCAACACTCAATTCATAGTTGAAGAAAGAAAAATGGAGATTTTCAGTCAATAATTTTAAGTGGGAAGAATGGGTTTAAATATAAAAATTTAATTTAATTGCTTATAATAAATTAGGGACTGAAAAATTGATCAACACTTTTAAATCTAATTACAACATATTGCATGATTATCTTCAAGTTAAGATTAGTAAGTTAATTGATCTTTAATAAATAATTTCGTCTGTCCAACAATTCATGTACATGTATGTGTGTATATATTTCGGTGTTCAGAAATATTTCCAGTTGATCTAATAATGAAAGGAAAATCAAAACGATTAGTGGAAAGTGATTAGTACCCAACAACTCTTATCTACTAAAACTATCATAAACTGGAGAAGAATTGATATAATAACATATATTTACGGTGTAGTTACCAAACAATAAATGCAAGAGTGTGAATTTGAAAGCAGAAATTTAGTTTGTGGGCATCCCATGAGGAATTCACATGGACTGACAGGGTGCTTCACCCCACAAAATCAAGCCCTTCTCTTTACTGAATCGGGACCATCAAGGGTCCAGGAAACCCTAAAAAAACAGGACCATCTGAGTTAGCTGGGATATCTTTATCTTAGTCAAGTCAAAATGTGGGATTGAATTAAATCTTATCTCTTTGCTGGATACATTTTTACTCCTTCCCAAACAGGCTTTTCGTATGTCAAATTAATCCATGTGAATACTTCTCTGCGTTCACCTGATTCAGCCTTCTTTCTCTATGGGTTTTTTGGTCCCTCCCTCTCTTCCTGCATGCACATGCCATACGAGTATTAAATTTGTGGGTGAGTTTCCATAGGTTACTTGCATCGTATAAGTGCTTGCCTTTTCTAAGATTGAATTAAATTGGAAGCCATTGAAGAACCAGAATGTTTGACTTTTAAACTGAAATCGGAAACCAAAATAAGCTGCCTTGTCATTTTCATGTTACAAAATCTTGCACTTGGAATCATGCTTGTCATCTCCAACGATTGGACCACTACAACAATCCAAATATGAAATGGGTATGTACGAAAAACACAATAGAGGAAATGTCAACCTTTTGATTAATTCAATAATTTCATAAATCAATCAGAATTTACCTCATAGAAAGTGGGTTTTTGAAATAAAATACATTTACCTCTCAAAAAACATTAGAAAGCCTAAAAATATTTATCTTCTTCTATTTGGGTTTTTAGTCAAGAATTTGAAAATGACCCAAAATGGGAAAGTCTTTTTTTTAAGTTAAAGAGTCATTTTCACTTCCACATGCTACATAACATTCCTCCAATTTAAATGACCTTCCCATATTCTTATCATTTTAGAGTCTTGAAAATTTGTGGTCACGATCGATAGTGTGTAATATATGAAGTGAAAGTGGGGCCTGGCCTCATTAATGTCACTCGTTGATTTCTTATAATTTATGGGGCCCAAATTTCTTCACCAATCATGGGGTTCCTTCTAATTAGGCCCTTTTCATTGGTGGGTCTGGGTCCCTCCCTTATTCACCATAAAATTATTCCCAAATTGTGCATAAGACCCAGTTTTATATATTAATTACAAAGTAGCCCAGCACCCTTCGGAGAGGCAAAAATATTTAACTTTAGTACCCAGTCCAAACTTATATATATATATATATACATGTCGCCTTCTTAATGGATTTTAGCCGCGGAAGGATTGACAATTTGTCAGCCGACATGGCAATTGTGTTATAAAAAGTTTTGAAAAAGAAAATTTATACACATATATATATAAATAGAATGAAAATGGGAAAAAAAATGTTAATTTATATTGTTGCTTTCAATATTATTATTATTCCAACAATATACATTGGTTCTTTAAAATATCTTGGGGGATAAAAATATATACATATATAGATAATCATGAGATTTTGATTCGAATTATATATATTTAGATGGTAACCCACGAATATATATGTATATGTGTAATTAATAGAAAATAATATATTGGAGGTTAGCAGCTGGTCAAAATCAGGATAGAATTATTAGATGGTGGTAGGATAATTGCACATGTTTTAGTTAATATTTGAAATATATATATAAATTATTTGACTAATTTCACACCAACGGTCACATTAAGGTCTTAAATTTAGATAGTAATTATTTTTATTTTAATTTAAATAAAAAAGGGGAATTCCATGTGGTCTCATGTGTTTCCATCTAGTCGTAATTTGATTATCTCCTGACGCGATCGTAATTAAGCATCTAATATCCTTAATCACGTTCTGTTTATGCATAATCACTTCACATTTTCTACTAATTAATTATTAAATACAATATATAATTGGTTGCAGTTAATACAGTTATCAAGTTAGTTAAACCATACTGTTCTGCACATCTAGACCTTTTAAATACCCTTAGAAGACAACTATCAACACGAATATATACATATACATATATATATATATATGCTCTAACAACAATTAAAATTGGCAATGTCCTAATAGTAAGAAGCTACATAAGTAAGAATTTGTTAAGATTTATCAAATTAAAAATATCTAAATAAGCGAATATAAAACTTAATTTCATTAATATATTTGTAAAAAAATACAGTAAATAAATTAAATTTTAACCCAATTACTTATTATAAGGTTTTATTAATCACAACAGTTATAATATATTAATATTCTAAGTAATTTTTATTTAAAAGAAGGAAGTATGTAATTAAATAATAATAATAATAATAATAATAATGTGGGATGAAGTCAATTAGGCCAAACAAAAAATACTTTGGTTAGTAATTAATACATATATACATTAATAAGCGTCACATGGTTATAAATTGAAGATTAAGTTAACGTAATTAAATTAATTGGGGAGCAAAATAAATGTAATTAATTAATGATTACCGTATAGTATATATTGATTATTCACGGAGGAATTAGAAAAA